GAGGCTGTTCCCTTTGTGACGTCATAACTCCGTGACCTGACATGACCCGGTCAAATTTTTTTTTATTAAAAGATGCGCAAGGTTTGCCCCATAAGGTACCTAAAATTTGGCGGCGCTGCGCGCCGCCGTTTTTGCGCTATTTCCGAAAAACCTCAGGGGGGGGGGGGTTGCACCAACCCCCCCCCTACATGGGCGAGGGTTAAAAGCTCATTTCAAAGGTGGACTATTTCCTTTGAAATGAGTTCACCTTCACAGCCCCTGAACAATAACCAATGCAAAGGTCACCGGGGTCCATTGAAACGGCCTGTGGCCCTGTTTCAACTGACCCTCAGAGAAGCGTTTCAATTGACCCCATCCGCTCCCGCCATCTCGCACGCGCCGTAAAGCACATGCCAAACGAGCTGGAGGGACGGCATCATGCTGAATGAAGGGCCAAATAAGGTGTTATTCCGGAGCCAGGAGTTCTTCTTTCAGCAAACAAAGGTATATGAGATATCACAAAATATTCATGAAAACGATTTCTCCCAAACGCCCCTCAAAAACACAAAAACAAGTGTCAAATCAAAATTACCGTCCGTTTGCCGCCCAAACGCCGTTGACAAATGAAGTGGTCGAGCGTGGATGCGCACTGGTGTCGGCAACGCCATATGTTGCATACTGTTGAAAATAAAGCCATGTTTCATCTGACCCCGTGTTTCAACTGGCCCCGCTCTCCCCTACCGGACGCTGTTCCTCTTGTGACGTCATAGCTCCGTGACCTGACCTGACCCGGTCAAGTTTCTTATACCATATGATAGCCAATACTTGCCCCAACATGCATGGGAAGTTTCATCACGATCCATCAACCGATGTCCGTACCACCGGCAGGAAACCTCGGGCGTTGGCACTCAGTTTGTGAAAATCCGGCCGGAGGCTGTTCCCTTTGTGACGTCATAACTCCGTGACCTGACATGACCCGGTCAATTTTTTTTTTTTTATCAAAAGATGCGCAAGTTTTGCCCCATAAGGTACCCAAAATTTGGCGGCGCTGCGCGCCGCCGTTTTTGCACTATTTCCGAAAAACCTCAGGGGGGGTTGCACCAACCCCCCCCCTACATGGGCGAGGGTTAAGACGTTTCCATGAGTTTTGAATGTATGGATAAGTTCTAAAAATCCGGTTCTCCTTATCTGGGCCATTAACTCCATACGGTCCAGGAAAGCTGGCACACTACCTTTAACCCTCGCCGGACCTATTGGTTTTCTACATACGCGCCGGCCGAGGGGGAGGGGGGGGGGGGGGGGGGGGGGGGCGGGTACGACCCCCACTCGCCGTTTCGCCCCTGGTGGAGCTAGCGCGTCGCGGAAAAAAACGAGCGTGTGCGCCGTTACGAGACGCAGAGATTGGTACCCGATTTTAAGGTTCTAGGTCAACCGGTGACCTCTGAGGTCAGGTCAAGTGCCCCAAGGTACGGTTCAGTTTTTGGTGAGTAACTTCGCAAAAAAACGGCCGCAGAGCCGCGATTTTGGCAGCATCGTGTTTGCCTCGCTCAGGCGCGTCGAATGATATACTTTTTGTTCGGGTCAGGTCAACTTGGGGTTTTGACCTCAGGTCAAGGTCAGGTCAGCACCCCCAGGTCACGAAGTTGGTCGAAAGAGGTCATGTCGCATATCATTCGATTCGGCAGGTCTTCCTGAGTCCATTGGTGGCTTTCCCGACTCGCTAGCTCAATTTGATCGGGAGTTATTGACGAAAAACTAATATGACCTTGATGACGTCATAAATGGCGTCACGGAAGGTCAACATTGCAAAAGTGACGCATCTAACCTTGCAAGGAGTGCATCAAATCACGATTCTGTGTGCTTGAGATAGTTGGAGATCGTTCCCGGCGCCAGAATAGCAGTTGAATTTTTCCCCATTGACTTATAATGGTGAGGTCACGAAAATGACCTGACCTCATATGACCTTTAGGAAAAATCCGAGATATACAAGTTGTGAGACTCATAATGGATACTAGATCCTGCAAGTTTCATTTCCCTGTGACATTTCCTCTGGCAGAGAGGGCGTTGTGAAGTTGCGACATCTGAAGACCGTGCAGAGGTTCACTTATAACGTCATAGGTCAGTGACCTGACCTGACCCAAAAATGCGGTTGGTGTCAAAAGATCCGGCTTGGATCAAAGGTCAGGTATGCCAAGTTTCAGCGTTCTATCGCCAGCGTGTTCGGAGTTATCGCGAAAAAAACCCTATGGAGGGGGGCGGAACCCGCCCCCCCCCCTCGGCCGGCGAGGGCTAACCCGCGACCTGGTGGGGGGGCTATTTGTTGCCCCCCCCCCCTACAGACTTTTCGATATATCTCCAGAACCGCTGCGCCGATCGTCACCAAACTTTCAGTACCCTCCCGGACATCAATTTTACACATTGTGACCAAAAAAAATTCCAAAGGCTATGATAGGTTGGCCGGAAATGACGTCGGAGTGACGTCATGTTCTGCCGTTTTCGACCCAAAAAAGGGTTTCGCGGGAAGAGCTGTCAGGCCTATAGCTTTGCAAATACAGAAAAATGATAAAGACATAAAAGCTGAAGAATGAACAGGGCTACAAAACTGGTATCTCGGATTTTTGAAATTTTTGGATTTTGACCCCAAAAAATCAAAAAATATTTTTTTTTGATATAATAATCGAAAAATCCGAAAAGTTTTTTGAATTTCGCAAAAACCGGAATATATGTGATAGTCCTTACCGCCTTCCATCCACATACCAAATTTGAGATTGATACCTCTTTTTTGGCTAAGTTATAGCGAAAAAACTGTTCAAAATTGATGACGTCAAATTTTCAAACTCAATTTTTAGCAATTCTAGACCCCGTAGCGCAAAACAAAGACCACCTTTAGACTCCCCGTGACGAGCTGCATCGAATCAATACCAATTTTATGCAAAACTATCAACTTTAAAATTTGACCTTTTTTGGCCTGACCTTGACCTGACCTTGACCTGCACTTCACCAGAAAGTGACCTAAGCCGTACCTGATTGTCTTATAACCAACACCATTGAGTTGGAAATGAAAAATTGGCCATAAAACATGCATTACACAACCTTAGTAAAGTTGGGCTCATGTGACCTGACCCGTGACGGCCGTGACCCTTGGAGACCTGACCTGTGACCTGACCTGGTATTGTCAGTGACCTCTAACAGCAACATATCTACTAGGCAACTGACGCCCTATCGCTGATTCTCGACAAAATGCGTTTTCCTCGGTGTTATAGCGCATTCCCTAGAGGACCCGTGAACGGTGAAACATTTCATCTTTGACCTGACCTGTGACGTCATCGGTGACCCCGAGGTCAATGAAATTTGGTTTCCTTCGACAAATTTGACAGGCCTTTCGAACGCCGTTTGAATTTTGCGGATCCGTCCAGTAGTTTCGGAGATACGAGGAGGGCAAAAAATAGCCCCCCCCCCCCCCCCCACCAGGTCGCGTTATAAACAGACCCCACCAGGGCGCGGGTTAATGCTCAATACGTTTGTTCGGAAATTTGCTGCTTGTGACAATACAACTATTCCTAGTTCCTCAACTTTTAAATCACCCCGTGACGTTACACTAATATTCCACGCATATGCCACAAGCATGAACACTATCGAAGGGCATGCATTGAACCCCTTCCCCCTCTCACCACAATACGAGTAATATACACGATTAACGATGAAACTTGCTAGTTGAGGCTGATTGGTTCGTCCATTTGCCGTCTTCGCTGACCATTTGCATATACCGGCATTACATGTGTAATCTGCGTTATATCACCTCTGACATTGAGGAGTATGAGGCCCTCCGGCAGCTGCCCCCTCAGTCGCGGGAGGTCGGCGGCGGTGACTGATAGGCATCGCAGCTCGGGGCACCTGGTGAGGGGCTCCAGGCTGCCGGCCGTGAAATCAGTACAATCTGGAAAACACACAGACACACATACAGACAGGATCAGTTAGCTGTAATACATGTCGATATATGATAAAACGAAACAACACCTAATAATTCACATGGTTTCATGGACACAGTAGACAATGGTAAAACAGTGCTATTATATGATATATGCAATGTTAAGCAAATGCATTGAACTTCATTGAACAGTGCAACACAATTGTTATGAGTATGATCAACTAACTCTGAACGAATATGTCACTGAGTGAACAGTCCTCCTCTATTTTGTTTGGAGCTCAGTTAGCTTCATTATATCGCAAAGCACATTGGCTTTGTATCACACCTGTCTCCATGAGGTGCGACAACGGCACACCGTTACTCGGTGTCCGCCATTCGCTGATCTCGTATATCAGCGGCCTGTCCGTGCTGCCGCTGCTCACCGTATATATACAGTAGTGTGACCGTCCGTCCCAGGTCAGCCAGGTGACTGATGGTGTCGGCAGCCACCCCCTGGAGCGACACTGACAGATCATCCTCGTACCGTCCCGGCCACCTCGGCTCCGTCACCTCCGGCCCTGTCGGACAGAGCTGTGTCAGCGGACTGCAGTCGGACAGAGCTGCCGCCAGCTCCCCGCTGCACCACTGACACCAGAGTGTCAGACACTGACACAGCCAGCACTAACACATCCGGGCGGCTGCACAACGATATTTTTAGCAACAGCATACATACGTAAATATGAAAATATGAGCAACATAAGTATTACGATTTTTGCAAGGCACATTGGCTTAGGCACTGGGCAGCCAGTCATGGTATAGTAACGGATCAAGTTGGTAGACTACATAAATATATGGTTCGCAGTGGTTGCAATGAAACCATTTCAAATTACCATAATTGCTACAATAATATTTCATGCATGCACTTGATGCTCACACTATATGCAAATGCATGCATTGCATCACTCTAACAATACCATATAACACAAACAAGGCTGTAAGATGTTGGCTGAATTCGAACGGTTCGTCCATTTGCCGTCTGTCTCCCTGTTCATTTGTATATCCATATGCATTGTCCATTATACCGGCATTACATGTATGATCCGTGGAATCTTACCTCTGACATTGAGGCACCTGAGACCCTTCGGCAGCTGCCCCCTCAGTCGCGGGAGGTCGGCGGCGGTGACTGACAGCCGCTCCACAGTCTCCCGTGAGCTCCGCAGCTCCGTCAGCTCGCTGTCACCGACTCCGGCCGGAAGGATGATAGTGTTTGGGTCCACCATGATGATGGCACCACGAAGTTGACTTGGAATAGTAGTAATTTGTGCTGGAAAGGTGATTGAACCAATGTCAGGCATTTGTCTAGGTCAAACATTGTACACTTACCTACAGGTGTAGAAAACACACAGTGAAAACTGTTTGTGGCTACAATGCTGTGATAATTCCGTGTCTGAGTAAATATGTATGTACTTTATCAAAACGATGTGAATTTCATAAGTTACTTTCCGTAACATAATATTCAACAAATACAATGATAATGGGTCTTTGACATATAAAACAAAATCACCACTAATTAGTCCATTATATTCCAAACTAGGCATATTTTCATGATGTCAATTGATCAATATGACATCATGGTGAGTTTTTGAAACCTTTTCACATAAGTATTTTGTTCAGCACTTATGTGTAGCTAATTATAACAATTTTGTATCGTTATAAAATTTGTAGCGTAAATATTACGTCCAATAGAGGCCCAAATCATTGACCATCACCATTCACCACACGGCACACGACTTGTCATCCTACAGCTTGCCATGGCTTATGGCTTCCGTCTTACCTTAGGATGAGGCAGCATTACCTGCAATACATGTAATATGTGTTGTATCCAGATATTCTTGGTTTGATTTAGGCTTCAGATTTTCAGGGATAAACTGCTTCTCCACGTTATTTATGAACATATGCTAGAAAAAAAAGCAGTATCTTAGAGCAAAAATCACAAGCAAGGAACGGTGCCGCCGGCCTGTTTCTCCGTTCTTCGTGTCCCCGTGTCGCCCCCTGCCCCTTTCAGGAGCGCCCGGCAGCGCCACCTGCACCTGACCAGTCCGACAGCGTTTGGGGTCGCCACGCATGCACCACCGACAATCAGCTGACGCGGCCGGCGGCGCGTCTCAAGGTCACTGGAGGTCAGCCGGGCCGCGGCCCGCCGGGGTGGCCGTGACGTCACAGCCAGCGAATGCTAAGCGCCGGAACAGCTACTGTTGTTTATCCCTTCCTAGCCATTCATATATGAGTAACTTCAACCGCTGCTCACCATCCGTGACTAGTAGGGTAATCCGTGACCCCAGCTCCGTGGCCAGGTGACTGATGGTGTCGGCAGCCACCCCCTGGAGAGATACCGACAGACCACTCCCGTACCGTCCCGGCCACCTCGGCTTCGTCACCTCCGGCCCTGTCGGACAGAGCTGTGTCAGCTGACAGCAGTCGGACGGAGCTGCTGCCGGGTTGGGAGGCGGCTGACACTGTGGTGTCAAACCCTGACACAGACGACACTGACAAAGCCAGGGTCGATCGGCAATGTTGGACAGTAATTGAAATTGAACATTGTGCACAATGCATGCGCTACGCTTATACATGCGTCAGTTAAAACCCGCGCCCAGATGGGGTCTGCCGAGCAACGCGGTCTGATGGGGGGGCATTTTGCCCCCCCCCCTCAGATCTCGAGAACCACGCAACATAGCGACAAGCGGTAAACGGTGTTGGATAGCCCCAACGGGGAACTACCTTGTGACCCAATTTCATTGACCTCGGTCAAACCGATGACGTCACAGGTCAGGTCAAAGGTCGAATTTTCACCGTTTACAGGCATTTCAAGAAATGCGTTGTAAAATCGTGTAAAATGCATTTCATTGAAAATCATCGATGGGGAAATGTTCTTCAAACACATATTCTGCTATTTGAGGTCACTGATACCAGGTCAGGTCACAGAGGTCAGGTGACTGGCGGGTCACAATATGAAAGTGTCGTGTGATCATAGGCGGCGGAACGGGGGGGGGGCACCGGGGCACCGTGCCCCCCTTGAATTCTGCAAGGGGGGCACCAATAGCAAGGTGCCCCCCCTTAAATTTGATGTATTAGTACCAGGAGCAGATTCGGGAAAACTCCAAGGGAAGGGTCATGAATCGAAGTGGTGCCCCTACCTATACCCAAAATGAAAACCTCAACGGATTTCGGCCACTTAATTTTGGTGGTGCCCTATTTTCAGTTTTCTATTTTCTTTATTTTTGGTTAGTCGTGTGATGACTGGTGCCTCTGCTAGGCCGCTGGTGCCCCTGGAAAGATTGTGGTACCTACCTACCCTGCCCCCTGACAAGCCCACGGTGGGCCCTGGGTGCCATGGGTCCTAACAGGCCCGTGGTGCCCCTGACAGGCCTGTGGTGTCCTTGCTAGGCCTGTGGTGTCCCTGGGCCTTGGCAGGTCTGTGGTGCCCCTGGCGAGCCTGTGGTGCCCCTGTTAGAACGTAGGTGCCCTTAACAGGTTTGTGGTGCCCCTGACAATCCTAAAGTGCCAACGACAGGCTTGTGGTGCCCTTGACAGGCCCATGGTGCCCTTGCGAGGCTGGTGGTTCCCCTGCGAAGCCGATAGTACCCCTGGCAGGCCTTTGGTGCCCCTGGCAGGTCTGTGGTGCCCCTGGAAGACCTGTAGTGCTTTTGCTAGGCCGATGGTGCTCCTGACAGGCCTGTGGTGCCACTGACAGGCCCGTGGTGCCCCTGCTAGGCCTGTGGTACCCCTGGCGGGCCTGTGGTGCCCCTGTCGGCTGTCAGGCCTGTGGTGCTCCTGGCAGGCATGTGGTGACCCCAGGCCCAAAGTCATGACCCATGTGACCTCCCCCCTGGGATTCGCCACTGATTAGTACTGCAATGGCTTCTTGGTAATTTGATACATGTAGGATTAACCCTCGCCAGGCGAGGGCCTTTTCCATAACACGGACGGCGAGGGGGGAGGGTTGGTACGACCCCCCTCGCGATTGGCTCCTATGGCACTTAGAAACGACAAATTTACAGGGTAGGTGGGTCCATGGGAGATCTCGCCCCTAGGAAAGTTTGGTGACTCTAAGTCAATATTTAGGGGGTTTTGGGGGTATGAATGCAAAAATTTTGCTTAAACATGTTAAAAATTTTTCGCTTATAACTTTTTACCTAGCAAAGATAGAGCAAAAATAAAAGCACCAGTGAACTCAGGACGTCAGTGCGCATCGAATGGTATACTTTGTTACCAATTTTAGTGAACTTTGGAATTCAGTTGCCGCTAAGCTAGTCCAATTTTCCCCTGACCTTGTACCGGTTTTTGTGACCTGGTGACCTGACCTGAAATGACTGGGACTTAAATTTTCAGGAAAGGTGCGAAAATGTTGCCCCAGAAGGTATGCCAAATTTGGCGGCGCTACGCGCCGCCGTTTTTACGTTATTTGCGAAAAACTTTGGGGGGGTTGCATCAACCCCCCTCGTCGGGCGAGGGTTAATGGAATTTATCAAACGAGAATAAGAAAGAGACAAACACATAGGTACTTGAGGATCAGCTTCAAGTTAACCACACATACGGGAGTGTTCTGCCATTTTCGTTTAGTAAAAAGAAAAAAGAAAAAAATCATCGTGTCAGGGCTGTGACGAAAAATAAGTGGCCTAAATCCGATGAGAAAACAGGATTTGGGGGTACCCTAGGTTTGGCTCCTTGAGCTGGTGCCCCCCCTTGTCTCAAATCGTTCCGCCGCCTATGCGTGTGATACATGTTTTATGGTCCATTTTACATGACAAATGCGATTATGTGGATCACACAGACTTTAGGGCCAGCTTAGGTCACGTTTTGGTCAAGGTCAGGTCAAGGTCAGGTCAAGGTCAGGTCAAATTAGGTCAAATTTCAAAGTTGATATTTTTGCATAAAATGGGTATCGATTCGATGCAGCTCGTCACGGGGAGTTCAATGGTGGTCTCCGTTTTGCGCTACCAGGTCTAAGATTGCTAAGAATTGAGTTCAATATTTGACGTCATCAATTTTTAAGTTTTTTTCGCTATAACTTGGACAAAAAAAGAGGTATCGATCTAAAATTTGGTATGTATATCGAAGAGTGCAGGGACTTTCACATATATCCCGGTTTTTTCGAAATTCGAAAAAATGGATTTTTTTTAAGTTTTTCTAAAAATTCAATATTTTTGATTTTTGGGGATCGAAATCCCAAAATTTCGAAAATCGGAGATAGCAGTTTTGTAGCGCCGTCTTTTCTCTACACAACCACATAAAGAACTTTAAAATTGCTTGTTAACTGTAGAATTGGTGAGCGTTTCAAGATGTCATGTTTTTTGCTCATTTTTACTCGAACATGACCTCAGTTTGACCTCAATAACTCCTGACCTGAGGTGGCCTGTGACTTGAAATTTTGTGTGAAGGTGTCAAATTGATGCCCGGTAAGGTACCCAAAATTTGGCGGGTTCTGCGCGCCGCCGTTTTTTCGCTATTTAAGAAAAACCACAGGGGGGCCAAAATGCCCCCCCCCATCAGGGCGCGGGTCCTCGCCCGCACATGGGAGGGGACGTTGCCACCCCCCAGGTAGTCTTTCTGCTCTGCACTCAACATTTTTAGAGCTAGAAGGCTGATTTTTGGTATAGCTGCTCCTCTATCCCTTCTTGATGTCCACTGATAATTTCAAGTTTCTGCGGTTTTTGGTTTCGGAGATATGACCTTGTTTTTCAGGTCATGTCATGACCCAAATGGCCAATTCTCAACATCTTGCGTTGGCTATGGGCCTTGTGAGCTTTTGACACCTTGATTTCGACCTGTTATGCCAGTCTTACCTCCCATCTATCATGGAACATGTTGTTCGACGATGTACAGATGTCAAGGTCAGGTTCAAGGTCAACCTAGGTCATCTAAGATAATTGCGTTTTAGGCAAGCTAAATTAACTTTTTTTGAAGTTTTTTTACTGCATTTTTGGTAAAAGCTTCTCAGATCATGATTTCATGTAATATGGACACATAAACAATCGGTGCACACATCAGTATACACGCAGACACACACAGACATACAAACACATATCATTGACCTTGACCTAACTTGACCTGAAATGACCTCAGCAGCAAAAACCTGGTCGGGTAGTGTGACAAAGAGGTTCTAGCTGGCTTGGCACCAGAAAACGGCATCGTCATCGGTATATGATAAGCAGCGCACTTGATATCCAACGTTGACCCAAAACAGCAACATTTTTTAGTTTGACCTGACCTGGAAGGTCAATGACTGACCTGGGAAGGTAAAACTGGGTATCATTGGATTCGACTCTTCCCAAAGAATCTTTTTGGTCTTTATCGCTAAGCTCTATCTCCAACAGGAACGAAATGGCGCGGGGGGTGGCAACTAGAGTTGCAAAATTTCCCCCAAAGGCTGCTACCGACACCGCCCCGCCCCACAGAAATTTTCTGGGATACCGGCATGCTACCACGACCCAAGCAAAAACACCACCAAATTACCGGCACACTAAAAAAACCTCCAATGTTGATTCTAGCTTACCCCTACAAGAGATGCCACACTTTGGCAATTTCAGTACCCATCCCAGTTCCCACCCAGCAGCCACCCAATGTCCAACCTAACTACGAAAGGATGATTTTGGCTCAGTTGGCCCCACAAATATCCACAATTTTGAAACTCAGTTCCAGTCTATAACTGTTAAAATATCACGTGTAATCAAAGAGGTATTGCCTACAAAAAAGCAGTAAGAAAAAAGCATCAAAAAAGCAATGACAAAAATAACTTAAATTACTGAATTGTTTCTGAAGACTGGACAGTTCAAGTTAGCAGTAATCTCATTAACATTTCAGAGGTGTTCTACTATTCCACATTCTCCTAAAATGTTGCAGGAACCCACCAACCAAAATCAAATTTTGAAATCTAGATGGCCACAACATAAAAGTACCTACAGATTCGGCCATGTGCCTGAGGAAGCGAGATCAACACCTTTTTTTCCTTTTCGCCATGGCTTGCTGGCTCATGAATAAGATACGAATCATTTGAAAAATGTGAAAAACTCACTTGTCCTGAGAACAGTCACCAAATAATATGCATAAAAACGATATAATACCAGTAGGCGGAACTATGGTCAAGCGTACCCATTTTCGGGAACGCATTTTCGTTCCCATGTTTGGGAGCGATAAACCCAAATATGGGAACGCCATGTAGGCATTATTTAAAACAAGAAAAAGAACCGTTAAATGACGTCCAAAAAAATATAAAACGATCGTGAACCACCTGATATTTGTCCCAATATTGTTGGGAAAGAGTTTGATGTTGTAAGGCCCATCGTAGTTTCAAATCGTTCCCCTATTTGTAAAGCAGTCCATCATCCGGGCCGCGAGCCCAAATTTGGGAACGCTCTCGTACACTGGCGCTGCAAGCGTTCCTTATTA